GTCCAGCTGCTTGAGGCTGAAGGCATGCTTAGACACCTGCCGCACTTCCCCATCCCAGGCCTGCACCTCCTGCTTGCGGGAGGCTGAGTCGGCCGACAATAGGGCCTCCACTGCACTGGTCACCTGGGGGAAGCAGAGGGTCAGAGGTGGTACCCAACCCCCAATCCCACATGCCCTTGGTCTTCAGCTTTGTCAGTGCTTGCACAAGATCATCACTGCTCTGGTCCCACCTGTCCTAGAATCTCTGGTGGGGCGGGAAGGTATTCATACCCGATCTCTGACAATGTCAGGCAGTCCCCCCAACCCATCCCGGGCAATCTCCAGGTAATCTGGCAAAATGACAATCTTCACATCCTCATCATACTCAAACTTCTCCTCGCTGAGGTCAAACCCGCCTTCAACACCTGGTGAGACAGGAAAGGAGAGGGAGAGTAGGACAACCACTACAAGTAAATGTCCCCGCTCTGATACAGCATTCACTTTGTCCCCGCCAGAGCTCTAGGGCCACTGATTAGACCCATTCTTTTGGGGCTTTCCTAGTACCCCTGAGACAGGAAAGACCAGCTCAGGGAGAACAGCATGGCTCACCAATAGCCAGCCGGGTGGGCTTCTTACGGGGGGGGTCTCCAGTGCCTGTGGCGGTGTCTTCCTCTTTCTGCAATGAGGCATGAAGGACAAGATCAGCAATAGGCACCAGGAAAGGAACAAATGAGAAGGATGGGCAGGATGGAGTGAGCTAATCTCAGAAGAGAATGGAGCTAAAAAATGCGTGCTAAGTTTTAATGACACCAACAGAAATAGGTGAGGAGGAAACTGAGGCCTATAGAAAGTCAGAACAGAGATTCAAAATGGGGGGCCAGGGGGTTGGCCCCGTGGCCGAGAGGTTGGGTTTGCATACTCCGCTGCGGAGGCCCAGGGTTTCGCCAGTTCGGATTCTGGGCGGGGACATGGCACCGCTCATCAAGCCATGTTGAGGTGGCCTCCCACATGCCACAACTAGAAGGACTCACAACTGAAATATACAACTATGTACTGGGAGGACTTGGGGAGAAAAAACAAAACAAAAAGACACTGGCAACGGTTGTTAGCGGAGGTGCCAATCTTCTTTTTTTAAAGATTTTATTTTTCCTTTTTCTCCCAAAGCCCCCTGGTACACAGTTGTATATTTTCAGTTGTGGGTCCTTCTAGTTGTGGCATGTAGGAGGCCACCTCAGCATGGCCTGATGAGCGGTGCCATGTCCGCACCCAGGATCTGAACTGGCAAAACCCTGGGCTGCCCGAGCAGAGCGTGCAAACTTAACCTCTCAGCCACGGGGCCGGCCCCCAGGAGGTGCCAATCTTTAAAAAAAAAAAGAAAAAAAATGGGAGCCCAGGCCCAGTGGGATGTGCCTGAATGTCCCCAGGCCTTGCCCCAGCCCCTGTCCCTACCGGGCGCCGGGTCCGACGGAGGTGCAGGTAGACTCGCTGGCCCGTCTTGTTGAAGTGTCTTTCTACATACTGTTTCCCGAAGCCCAGGAATGTGTTCATGCAGATGTAGAGGCCACCCTCAGACTCCTGCAGGATGAGAGGCAGGGGAGGAAACAGGGAGGATGAAGCCTGGCCAGGCGGGAAACTAAGACCTGGGGTCAGAAACTGCTGGTTCCCAGAAGAAAGTTTCCGTTCTCTAACACTATGTGGCTCTCGGCAAGTCATTTATTCTTTTAGGACCTGGTACATGGTTAAGGTTCTCCCCATTTCCTCCTACGACTTTGATAAAAAACAACAAGGATACCAGGGGATGAGCAACACCTATCAGTCACCATTCATCTTCTTTCTTGCTCCTTCTTGGGGCTCTGGAGCCCTCGAATCAACTGCAGAGAGCTCCCTTTACCTGATTCCTGGAGCCAAGAGATTCAGAAAGTAAATGAGGACTAAATACTGTGGATTTCCAGGGCCAGATATTACATTCAGAGGGGAAAAGGGTCCTTTCCTGGGAGAGGAAAGAGCTGTACATCTGACACTGAACCTAAACCAGGGACACCAAGACAAGCCCTACCTGATCTCCAGAACTCAGAGAACCTTCCAGACTGGAGTAGCCGAGATTCTAGCACCTGAACAGTACATCTAACCCCTAAGCTTGCCAGCAAGCCCAGGCCTGTCCTTTACCACACTGTACTAGGTAGTCGAACCCTGGTCCACACTGAGTCCTCACCCTCCTCTCCTGCTGAAGCACAGCTCCAAGGGAACAATGTCTTGCGTGGGGCTCACAGCTAAACCTGGACCCAGTCTGGCAGGGACACGAAATCCAGCATTCTCCAGCCACAACCCTGTCGCCTCCCCTCTGACCAATAACTAAACCCCACTTAAGTCCCATCAACCTCGAACCTCAAAGCCATCCCCTTTCTAGAACAACCTAGCAATCAATACCTGCGGAGACAGCTACAACACATACAACCCAGGAATAAAACAAGGAAACACAAGTGTCTAGCCTAAATCACATCTGAGGATGGGCTTCCCCAAAACTGAGCAAGGCTACTAGTGCCTTTGTGACTAGACTGATGAAGTTGGAGAAGGAAATTGGAGACAACAACAAAGTCTTCACTCAGATCCAAAAACAACAGGTATCTCCTTCCTGGAATAAAAGCCCCAGCCTTGAAAAATTCTCTGCTGTGATACCAAAAATAAGGCAGTTTTTGGTCCAAGAGGTTGCTCTGTATCACTCCCTAGAACAGTGTGGATTACAATGCTCATGAACAAAAAGAGCATTTCTCATCAGGGAAGTCAAATAAGCTCTCTTTCTACCATGAACCCTATTTGAAGATAACCAAATATGCGTGAAGTTGGGGGCTGGCCCAGTGGCACAGCAGTTAAGTGCACACATTCGACTTCTCAGCGGTTCACTGGTTCAGATCCCGGGTGTAGACATGGCACCACTTGGCAAAAGCCATGCTGTGGTAGGCATCCCACATGTAAAGTAGAGAAAAATGGGCACGGATGTTAGCTCAGGGCCAGTCTTCCTCAGGAAAAAGAGGAGGATTGGCAGTAGTTAGCTCAGGGCTAATCTTCCTTAAAAAAAAAAAAAAGCCTGAAGTTGGTTAACAAAGCAATTAGGCCACAGTGAACATCTCTTGACTTGAGGTGAGAGAAGGAAAGTGTAATAAGATTACAAAAACCTCTTTTGATTATTCAAAGCAATTACTAAGGAGGGAGAGACAGGAATGTAAAGGGGGAGCCAGAGACTTCTACCATCTGTTGGTTATTAAGAAAAACCTTTCCCTCCTGAGAAAGATGGTGCCTCACCAAGCCATGCACCTGACAAACTGGGAGTCGAGGGGCGCTCTGCCGGGATCAAACTCCTCTGTCGGAATTAAAAGAGGCTGGGTTCACCAAGGACTGGGAACCCTGGGGCTCTGCTCTGAGCAGTCCTCTTGCAGCTCTGCCAAAGCCAGACTTCAGAGAAGTAGCACATTGTCTGAAGCCCAAATCAAAGCCTAGGAAACCAAGCAAACCACAAATCACAGTGATGATCCTGAACTGGGCCTTAGATCATGCTGCTATACTCAGCACTGGCGATGCATTAATGAAGCCTTTCCACTCTGACTTGCAGTTTTCCCAGCCATGAGCTGGTCTGGCTGAACACCCTGGGCACAGCCCAGCAGTGGCTTGAGGGGAGGGGTGGTGAGGGGGGCGGATCCCAGCCAGGCTGCTGCCCTCTCAGTTCAGGCTCTGGCCTGGCCAAAGGCTTGTCTCTGCTAGAGGGTGACACAAGAAGGCAGAACTGCAGGAAGGGAGGTAACAGGGTGGAGTCTGCAAAACGTGAAGCAGGGTGTGGGTGGAGGCTTTGTCTAACTAGTCAAGAGTGGGACCAGGATGGGAAAAGGGCCTTGGTAACTGCTCCCCCCTCTCCCCCCGCCAAGAAACCATTTCCTTGGGAATACTTTAAAAAGGGTTTGCTCTGCTCTCTGTGATGGGCAGGAAAAAGAGGGGGCTGCAGTCATAGTTCACCTCAAAAGAGAAGCGACTAGAGCTTTCCTCTCCTCTTTCCTCCCCTCCCTACCACCAATGACCCACCTCCCCGCCCCCTGTCCATATTAACCATGGGTGGAGGCTCTCTAACTCGGCCTTTCTCAGAACCGGCCTTCTTCATGGCCACTTCCAGACTACTAGACGCCTAGGAATTGCGGTCCCCACCCTCCAAACCCAACCCCGGGCCACAGCAGTAGGGGGTCGCCCCATCCCTCCTACACAAGACTACAAAACCCGGAGAGCCATGCGCGACAGGCAAGGCCAACTCCCAGGCTTTCGCGGGGTCCACTTGGGGATTGTAGTCCGACGATTGGGTTGCGCCTCTAGCTTAGAACGACAATGAGGGGAGGGAGCGCCTACAATCCCCACAGTCCTCCACGAGACGGGAAGGGAGCGAGGCGGGAGCGGTGGTTTCCGGGAGCGGTAGTCACACGACAGCTCCAGCTAATTAAAAGCAACAGCAAAGAGCAGCGTGGGGGACTACAGGTCCCATGGTGCATCGCAGGAAGGCGGTAGCCCGAGCCTTGCAGGCCCCGGCAGAATGACCAGGGCGATGGAAGGAAGTCGTGCTCGCTGCGGGCGTGGGGAGTGGGCTTACCGGCGTGTCGAAAGAGAAGGCGCACTCGTCTTTGTGGACCCGGTCTCCAGCCTTAGGGACCCGGATCGTCGGTAACACTGACAGCAGCGCCTCCTCACTCAGTTCCGCCATGACACCGGCAGCAGCTTCTCCACACACAGCGGCTCCCACCGTTCCCAGTCCCCCACCCCCTACTCCTGCTGTCCAATGAGTACTGCTCGTTAGGCGCATGCGCTAAAGGGGAGACGCGCGAGCACGGCAGTTGGACCGAGCCTGCCTACTAGCGCTCCGCCCAGTGCCCTACTCTCGACTGGCACCAATGGAAAGCGCTTCTAGTGCAGTCGATGGCCCGAAGAACCAATCCCGCTCTTCCAGGCAGAGGCACGTAGAAGCGGCGAGAGGGGCCCCGGAATTTTGGCTGCTCGGACTCTGGGATCCTACACTCCCTTCGCGTGCCTCCTGTTGAAGAGCAGAAACTGACGTTTGTTTAAACCAATCAACCCCAGAAACTTTCCTGGGCACTTGTCCAATCGGAAAATAGAAGGGCAGTTGTCTTCTTGGTATTTGAAAAGGGGCTGTCCAATGAGGCGGAGTTTGAGAGGGTAGTGTCGATGATTGATTACTCCTTTAACCAATAAGGACTACGATCTCTCTCGCCTCAGAAAAATCTTAACTCCGTCTCCAGCAGGATCTGTAATAATTCATGGGTCTACTTTTTTAACAAAATCATTTGGTTTAGACACTGAAGGTCTCAGAAGCGAAGATTGGCACTCCTCAAAATCCCACGACGGACAACTCAAAGCCTCTTACAGAACAAAAGTCCTCTCATGGAGGGGGCGTCACCCCCGGGCAAGCCAAGCCGCTGCCCATTGGCCCCATGGTCCCCGTGACAGACGTCCTCTCAGCCCAATGACTTTCTCCACTGGAGGTGGGTCTCACATAGCGGGCCTATGGGAGCCTGCGTCGGCTCAACCAATAGGGTCAAGGCAGGGGCGTGGCGGGAGGTTTGAAACTCAGCTTCCGCGGGTTAAGGCTTGAGTGGCTGTGCGCGTAAAAGTGGATCTGGGGCCTGGTAAGTGATTTGAATAAATTAGTAAATGAGAGGACCCAGCAGGCCCAGAATGAGCCGCCTTCTTAGCTGCACCAGTCATCATCCCCGCAGAGGCCTCAGGCCCAGCGGCCAGGAGGTTCCTCAACTGGGAACTGGGAAGATCGGGGGGTCTGGAATTAGAAGTCGGACATGGTCGCGGTAAGGGCTGAGACCTGAGTCACTTCTCACAGGCATCCCCTCCTCGCCCTGGGCCGGGCCCTGCCCACCCTATTCCTCCTGGTTGAGATGGGCTCAGCCAAGAGCGTCCCAGTTACTCCAGCGCGGCCTCCACTGCACAACAAGCATCTGGCCCGAGTGGCGGACCCCCGTTCACCTACTGCCGGCATCCTTCGCACTCCCATCCAGGTACTCTGGGCCGGGGTGGGAGAGGCAGAGAAACTGTGTGAATTCTTGGGCATTTCTGATTCTGAGAGAGCCCTTGCCCCCCACCTCCCTCTACTTTGAGGGCTTATTTTCCACATTGTCAGTCCGGGTGGAGTAGGCTGAATGTCTGAGGGCCTTGGCAATCCCTAACTAGAATATCGGCCTGAGGCTAGAGACCTGGGAGGGAAGAAGAGTCAGGGCCCAGACTTGTTCTAGCCTTTGGTTTTGATAGGTGGAGAGCTCTCCACAGCCAAACCTACCAGCAGGGGAGCAGCTGGAGGGTCCTAATGAGGCCCAGGACTCAGATCCCCGTTCTCCTACCCTTGGTATTGCACGGACACCTATGAAGACCAGCAGCGGAGGTAAGTGTTGAGCCCAGGGAATTCTGATAAGGCTGTCACCTAGCATCCTTGGGTGGGGTCAGTGAAGCCATACTCTCAGGTCTCCTTCTTCTTTTTTTTTTAAAAAAAAGATTTTATTTTTCTTTTTTCTCCCAAAGCCCACCAGTACATAGTTGTGTGTTTTTACTTGTGGCATGTGGGAGGCCGCTTTAGCATGGCTTGATGAGCAGTGCCATGTCCGCGCCCAGGGTTCGAACCAGCGAAACCCCGGGCCACTGAAGCAGAGCACACGAATGCAACCACTCGGCCACAGGGCCGGTCCCTCAGGGCTCCTTCTTAAAGGGGCCTCCATCCTCCTGCTTTGAACTCATCTCACTCTTTTCTCAACATTTTGCTCCCTCTCGCCTTGATTTCTCTCTTTCCAATCCCTCACTCACCAGGTCAAGAATCCTAAGGCTCCTGTATCCTTTCCTCCTTCCTGAATGATTTGTATCAGAGGGTCACTATCCCACTTCTCCCCTCTAGAGCCCCCAAGCCCACTGGTGAAACAGCTGAGTGAAGTATTTGAGACCGAAGCCCCCAGATTGAATCTTCTCCCAGATCCTGGTCTGCCTCCAGAGGCACCTTCATCTTCTGAATTAGACTTGCCTCTGGGCACCCAGTTTTCCCTTGAGGACCAGATGCCACCTTGGAGCCAAACTGAGCTCCCCTCCAAGCAGGCATTTTCCAAGGAGGAAACAGGACAGCCCTCAGAAACCTCTGTGGCCAGCCAGGGCTCAGACAAGCCCTTGAGAGACCCTGAGACTCCCCGATCTTCAGGTACAGAATCTAAGGGCAACATATAGGGAAGAGAAGTTGGGATAATGGCCATGGATGAATGTAGGAAGAATAAACTGTAAGCCCCTAATTTTGGCTCCTTGCTTTAACTCCTTACCCACCCTAGGTTCCAAGTGCAACAGACAGAAACCAAAGGGGAAAGTACTAGGAAGATCTCCCCTCACCATCCTGCAGGATGACAACTCCCCTGGGACTCTGACACCACGACAGGTAAAGGGAGACAGGGTGAAGGTTATTACTAGGAAATCCAGCATAGAGCATGGGAGGCCTTTTTACCCAATCTTCCCTCTCCTGAACAACCTCTCTCCCTCCCCCAACTCGAACACTGCCTTTTGCAGGGTAAGTGGCCTTCTCTGAGTGAAAATGTTAGGGAACTAAAGGAAGGGGCCATTCTGGGAACTGGACGACTTCTGAAAACTGGAGGACGAGCATGGGAGCAAGGCCAGGACCACGACAAGGAAAATCAGCACTTTCCCTTGGTAGAGAACTAGGCCATGTGTGGGTCCAGCACTGGGTTCCCTAGGGGCCTAGTGACATTCCCTACACTCACCCCTTCTCTCCCTGGGAGACTGGACAGGCTTGTTTTCTTTAACTCCACCTAAACTACCAACTCTGGGACTGAGAGCTTCCTTGGGCTTTGTTAGTGTCTTATGTGTTTCTTGCATATTAAAGAAAGTGGTTTTAAATGATGTTGTTAAGTGTTATACCTAACCCTTGCACCGAGTCTTCTGCAGGTAGAAAGGCAGCCTGGGGAGCTTCTGTTCCCCGGCCTGAGTGTTCCCTCACTGATTCCTCCGAGCGTCTTTTATGTACCTCCCTTTAGTCCTCGTGTTCCCCGGGGCTCTGTCCTTGGCCTTTTCCTCTTGCTCTCTCTAGGTGTTCACTTCTATGGCTTTAGCTGTCACTTACCTATATTCTGGTAACTTCCAGGTTTCTCTCTCTAACCCTGACTTTTATCCAGCTGCCCCATAGGCACTTTAAAGTCAGTTTGTCTCAAGTTGAATTTGTGATCATCCCCCAAAAGCTATTCCTCATCCCCTATTCTCCGTTATCCACCCAGATGCCCAAACTGGAACCTTGGCCATCATCTTGAATCCTGCCCTCTGAATATCCCATGTCCTAGGTCTTGGTCACTAAATCCTGGTGATTCTATATCCTCAGTCTCTTCCCCATCCCTTCTCTTGCCCCTCTGTCCTTTCACTCTTGCATTTCTTGCCACCTGCCTCCTACCTCATTTCCCTCCTTTCCCTCTAGTATTTCCCCAGTTCATCAACCTGTGCTGCTGCTAGGGTGATCTTTCTGAGAAGCACCGCTGATCACGTCACTACTCTGCTCAGACTCTTCAATGATTCCCCATTGCCCTTAGGATAGAGTCTAGGCCCTTTAGCTGGGCATTCCAGGCCTTTTATAATCTGATTCCTTCTCAACATAACCCTCCTGTGCAAACACATGCATACATACCATAGGCAGGCTGTAGTGAACTGTTGTGCACATGCTCCCTCAGCGACCTGGTGAATACCTTCTCCTCCTGACCCATCTCTGGCCCTCCCCATGAGGCTTGGGCTTCTGCCTCCACCCTACTTTCTTCCCACCAGCTGGTACCCAGCCTTTATCATTGCACCTCTAATACTTTATTACTTAAGTGGGACCTGCATCTTTTTGGAACAGAAGTGGAGTGGAAGCCAAACATCATCACAGAAATACTGGGGTGCTAGCTTTATTGCAATTGCTTTAGGAGAGAAAAAAAGAAGGTAGAGGAAGGAGAAAGCATGAAAGAGAAGGGGACCCTAATGGTGCCAGAGCCATGGTCATGGGGCTGAGCACCCTGTGCCACTCAGGTCTGGACAAAGGTAGTGGCTCTAGGGGAGGAATCCCAGGGCCTGGGGCTCAGACTGGAAGGCTGCTAGGCTGCCAAGGGCTGGGGAGGGTCAGTTATCCTTGCTCATTAAGGGAAAAGCTGTCAGGACCATGGAGAGGGGAGGCCGTGGGAGGAGATGGGGCAGTTCCTTGCCCCTGTGTCCCTGATTCTGCCTCCCAAAGGCACACTCCCCATGTTCCCCACTGCCCTTAAGGGAGAAAGCTTGGTGGGAATGGCTGCTGGGGTAGAGAAGAGAAAACCTTACAGAAATTGGGCAGGGGAGGGGGCAGCTGAGTGTCTTCGTGGCCTTTTACCTCCCTGGCCTCCTCAGTTCCAGATTTTGAGGAAGCTGTCCCAGGAACCAGTGGCTACAGCCATCCCATCAGCTGTGACCCCCAGGCAGCTGACCCTGTTGTCGTGGCCAGAGAGGGTGCCTGAGGGAAAAGGAGAGGAGTCAGCCTGTTTCCCATGCTGATTTGTCAGGGAGTGTGTGTGCATGTGCAGGAATCCTAAATTAGGGGGGCTGGCATGGACTCTGCAGCCCCTGGTGGAGACTGGAAGACTGAAAGAGGATTAGCTCTAAGGCGCGGGGTTCTCTTGAGGCCAATCTCTCTGTCAAGAACCTGGGGTGGGGGAAGTGCCAGTGTGCTAATGAGAAAACAAGGGCACTTTGATGGGCACCAGACAGCAGGGAAGGCAACCCTGTAGTCGTATTTCCAAGTGAAGAGACTGAGGCCCAGAGAGAAGTGATTTGTCCAAGAGCACTCAGAAACTAAGCAGCAGAATTAGGATTGGGGTCCTGACTCTGGCCGGTATTTTCATTCAGCACCTGGCCTCTCCCAGGAGAAGAAACCACACTACCTGATTCTGCTTCAGACTGGCTGCTCCTAGAGAAGGCCCTAGGTTGGATCAGGGCCCTCAGGTCCCTCTGGATCTCCTGGATTTTGCTCTTTGCATAGTTCCCTGAGATAGCCCTTTCCTTTAGTGAGTGCCCCTAAAAGCCAGAACTGACTGGACATTCAGTGTCCATGGGTCTGGGGATGACCATAATGAGCTCCTCTGGCAGGGAGCAGCTATGGCATTGGGCAGTAGAGAAGGGCCGCGTAGAGCAGCTTTTCTTTGAGAGAAGACAGTCCTAGATTGAGAACCAAGGAGGACTAGATCCTGGGGGTAGAGCTCAGAGTTACCCAGCAATTAGGGAACAGCAGTAAGAAGGTCCTAACAAGGGGAGCTGGCGGGAGGGTCCTTCCAGCTGAGGTGGCACAGGGGGCTGGCCCTTACCCACGCGCTCGCACTTGATGGAGTCCCAGACATTGCAGTTGAAGTCATCATAGCCTGCAAAGAGCAGGCGGCCGCTGAGGGAGAAGGCCACGGACGTGATGCCGCAGATGATGCTCTCATGGGAGTATGCGGTCAGCTCCTGGTCGGCCCGCAGGTCAAACAGGCGGCAGGAGGCGTCGTCCGAGCCCGTGCAGATGGCCTCTCCATTGGGGAAGAACTGAAGGTACAGTGGCAAGGTGGTCAGGACTCAGACCTGGGCAGCCTGCTGCCTCTCCTGCCCTGTCCCTGACTCCTGCCTGGTGGCTCCAGGGCCAGCTGCTTCCCTCAGCCCCCCTGCCTGTCCTTTCCCCAGCCTGTGGTGGGAAACAGCTCGCTCTCCACCACTGACATTTATCGCGAGCCAGCAGCATGCCAGGGCTCCGACACCCTTCACTTGCTCTCGCTACAGGGCTGCAGGCAGGCGTTATTTCCACCACGGTGCAGGCGAGAGCACAAGGCTGAGGGAGGGTGGGCAGCTTGCCCAGGGTCACATGGCTGGAAGGGCGGAGGTTGTCCTCGACTCCTGCGGCTACAGTCGGCCCGATCAGAGTATGAGAACAGGGCTAGATACAAATGCATCACCTGAACCTCATCACGAGCAAATGTCAGATCCACTCACGTGGAGGGAAAGCCTGCAGAAAACTAGTTTGTACTCTTCAAAATTGCCAGGGTCGTGGAAGACAAAAAAAGGTGGAAGAATGGGTACAGTTTAAAGGAAACTGGAAAATATACGGCCAGGCAAGGCAATGCGTGTTCCTGGACTGAAAAACACATTGCAAGGAAGGACATTCTTGAGATGATTGGTGAAATTTGAGTACAGACTGTAGGCTACAGTATTGTGTCAATGTTAGATTTCCTGATTTTAAGAATGATACTGTGGGGCTGACCCAGTGGCACAGCAGTTAAGTTCGCACGTTCCACTTCAGCGGCCAGAGGTTCGCCTGTTTGGATCCCAGGTGCAGACCTAGGCACTGCTTGTCAAGCCATGCTGTGGCAGGTGTCCCACATATAAAATAGAGGAAGATGGGCACGGATGTTAACTCAGGGCCAGTCTTCCTCAGCCAAAAAAAGAGGAGGATTGGCAGCAGATGTTAGCTCAGGGCTAATCTTCCTCAAAAAACTAAAAATAAGAATGATACTGTGGCTATGTAAGAGAATGGCCTTGTTTTTGGGAAATATACACTGATGTATTTTAAGGGGGGAAAAGCATGATGTCTGCAACTTATTCTCAAAAGACCCAGGAAGAAAATAATAACAGAATGTATCTGTATCTACAGCTAGGTGTATGTGTCTGTCTGTCTGTCTACCTATCTATCTGCCCATCTCTCTACAGAGAGAATGATAAAGCAAATGTAGTAAAATGTTAACAGTGAATATGGGTGAAGCCTAGGTGGGAGATCTTTTTATTATTCTTGCTACTTTTCTGTAAAGTGAGATTATTTTGAAGTGGAAGGTTAAAAAGAAAGGGGTAGGGAGCTGTGGGAGGGATGGAGGATGTGGTGGGAGTGAGGTGGTCCCTGGAGCTGGAGCACAGTGGGGGCTCACGCAGATAGCATTGATGTCCGATTCATGGCCAGTGAAAGTCTGCCGGCAGGTCCCCTCCCGCACATCCCAGAGCTTGGCGCTGGCGTCACAGGCCCCCGAAATGAAGAGTTTGAAGTCAGGAGATACAGCGAGACTCATGCAGTCCCCCGTGTGTCCCACAAACACTGTCTTCTGCTGCCCAGTCTCAATGTCCCACAGAGCACTGCAGAGAGGAGGGGAGGCTGTCACAGAAAAGCCAGGACAGAACTGCCTCCCGAGCCCCAGCTCCCACAGCCTGCAGTCCTCACCACGTGGTGTCCCCTGAGCTGGTCACAATGTTGTTGTCGTCCAGGAAGCGGCAGCAGGAGAGATAACCTGGGGGTGGTTAGGACACTGCCCTGGCTACAGAGCCACAACCCGCCAGGGCTGGCACTTCCCTGGACCCCCGAGACAGACAGACAGGGTCTCACTCACCTGTGTGAGCAGAGAGCTCCCGGCTGACCTTGACATTGCCCTCGCGGGATTTGAGGCTGTAGATGGAGCACATGTTGTCCAGCCCCCCACATGCCACAAAATTCCCTGACGGGGCATAGGCACAGGTCATGACCCAGGAGGAGCGCAGCGGGATGGCATGAACCTGCAGGAGGGCGGGTGTGGCCAGAGGCAGGACCTGAGCTGGGCTCCCAGGTGCGGAGGGCAGAGGAGGGTAGGCATGATGCCCGAAGGAAGGATGGGGTGATGGGGGGCAGGGAGGCAGGGCTGGTACCTTATTGGTGGTATAGGTGTCCCACACGATCAGCTTCCCATCTTGCGAGGCACTTACCAGCAGCCTGGGGAGAGAGCACCCCATGTCACCCAAGCCTCTTCTTCCTGCCTCCCCCTCCCCTCTGGGCACCTCTCAAGGCTCACTTGGAGTCAGTGGCCCAGTGCATGGCATAGATCTTGGCCAGGTGTCCTCGTAACGTCCGCCGTGTCCGCATCTGGACTCGTCCCACGACCTCTAGGCCAGACACCAGCTGCAGAAAAGGAAACATTAGAAATTGGGGTGAGCAGAGTACATGCCCAGATGCCAGTGCCACAGCCACTGATCTGTACAAGTTCTGCTCCGTGCAAGGTCCTAGGCCAGGCCCCCAGCCTTAGAGAAATAAGTCCCTGCCCTGGAGTGGCTTAGACCGATGTGGGAGACAGACACACGCATAGCCAGGGGCATACTGCTAAGTGTCTAACAACCACCTCTCCAGTGTGTATGGTGAGGGGAGGGTGGGGGGGTGGGAGAGTGATTTCCATGATGTAAATACTCCACCTTGGCCAATTTCAAGCTGCCAGCGTGAGGTCACTGAACATGGACTTGGGGAGAGATGCCTACGTGCGGCTGTCCCAAGCCACTAGGAGCCTACTCTCACACACCACTGCAACACGGCCGGCTGTTTAACTGGGTGCCCAGGGCATCGCTGTGACCCTGAACTGCACCTCCTAAAATGTGCAGTCCAATGCCCCTTAAACTCTCTCCAGCTTCTAGACTTAGGCTGGGGCTCCAGAGTCAATAGACTCGACTTGCCATTTACTTGCTTTGTTATCTTGGGCAAGTTACTTGACCTCTCTGAGCCTGTTTCTTCATCTGTAAAGTGAAGGTTATAGCACCTACCTTCTGGGGTAATCATGAAAATTAAGTGAAATTATGTATTTAAGCAACTTAGCCCAGTGTGCGGCTCATGGGAAGTGTTCAGTAAACGTTTACTCTTATTATTAACATATTTAATCCAATCCAAGATGCCACCAACTCTAAGCAGCAGTGTTCTTTTATGGATCACTAAGAAAGAGGGCTGCCAGTTATCATTGTAAGGCACCATCTATTATTGGCTGCAACAGAGATGTCAAAATGTGAAAAATGTTCACCTTAGAACCGATGAAGTGCAGTATTAGACAACTAGGAACTAGAGTCTGTGAGGGCTTTATGACTTACAAAGCTCCCTCTCTCTTCATCCTCACCACCCTGGGGCGGGGGCGGGGGGGCGGTGGTGGTGGCTCATAATCATTCTTGTTTTATGGACAAGGAGAGGGACAGCGTCTGCATCCTCACCCTCCAATACGGGGCCTGGCCCAGAGCAGAGCTCACTAAATGTTTGTTGAATGAATTAATTAATGCTGTTCCTCGTTCCAAGGACACGCTGTACTAAAGCTTGAGCACCAGGCTGTTGCTGTCAGGGAGCTCCATCCCCTCCCTCCCCTCAGCCCCTGCCTCAGGGGGACAGGAGTTCTCACCTCTGCCAGAGTAATGTCAGCACAGGCTTTCCTGGCGTCCTGGGGGGAAAGCAGACAGCAGGAGAGGGTAAGGACGGGGTGGGGGTGCACGGGCCTCTGAGGTAGGTGGGCCAGGGGCTCTAGGGTTTGGAGGACATCTGCAATATGAGATCCAAGTTTAGAAAGGCTCTGGTCACTTCCAGGTCAGGGGTCTCTAAGGCGTCACCCAGAAGCAAGTCCAGCCCCTTTCCCCTCAGGCCACACTCCCTCATGCTCCCAGTTCCATGTTTTCTGGGGTCCCCCAGTGGGAGGGTTCTGTGGTTACTGCAATCTGCTTCTTGAGCTGCTCCGCTTCCTGCCGCAGCTGCTCCATCTCCCCCATGGCTGACGGGTTGAGGGGTGACTCCGGCTCCTGCCAGGAACATGGAGTAGGTGTAGGGGGAGCCCCCCGGCCACGTTTCTGTCCCTCACACCCCACACCAGACTCCTCATGAGGGTTGGAGCCCACTACAAGAAATGGGGACATGACTGGGTGGCCTGCAGCACCTCCCCCACTAGCCTCTGCAAGTTTGGGGTCCTGTGCAGCCAGCCCCAGCCCTGCCCCAGCCCTCCCTGCAGCCCCCAGCCCCAAAGAGTAGAGCCAGGCCAGCTCCCTCTTACTTGGGCTCTGCCTGGACCTCTCCCAGGTCTCCAGCTCCAGTTCCCAGGTGCCTCCTCACTCCCTCAGCAGCGATGCCCGCCCGTCACCTGTCCCAGCTCTGCTGCTGGAGGAGCTGGCCTGGCCTGGCCCCGACTCTGGGGGGCGGGGGAGCGGGGGGGATGACAGGGAAGGGTAGGGCCAACTACGTCAGGCAAATGAAATCAGCTGCCGGGGTGGGGGGGAGGACAGGGAGGGAGGTGTGTGGCTTCCAGAGACTTGGGTCCAGCCTGGGGGAGGGCGGGGAGCAGGAGTATGGGGCTATAGAGAGGAGCAGTCCCCCACAACAAGCCCTGGAGGGAGGAGGGGTTGAAGGGGTGCTTCCCTGGCCAGCCTCTCTGTGGGCAGAGAGAAGAGCATCAGGCCCCGTAGGATTAGAGCAAAGCTGTGAGGATTAAGGGTTGGGGTTGGGAGGGGTGCAGAGGAGCAGTAGAACCACAGCCCCAGTGGCCCCCCCAGGCCCTGGCTCCACCAATGGTGATGATCTGGCAGTCAGGGCCTACCTAACAACCAGTCCAGGAGCCAGAATGTGAGGGTGAGAGATGGCCCATTGTCAATACCCAAAACTTTGTTCCTTAGCTCGGGGTGGTGGGGGAGGAGGGCTACGGTGAATATGGGGAGGGCGCAGGTAGGACCTGAGATTAGAAGGACTGATCTGGATAATCCTTCCCGACAAACCCCAACCAGCTGCCCCTAGGTCTGATCCTGGGCGGGTGGGAGGAGGTACAGAGGATCCAGAGAGAAGGATGGACAGGCCTGCCCCTGCTTTGGGTAGAGAAAGGATGGCAAGTGGAGGGCAACCCCATCCCCTGCTCCCACCTAGGGTTTGTCCCACTCCTTGCCCCTATGACTCACAGGGTCCTGCTGGGGCTGTGAAGGCAGGACCCCAAGGGATCAGGCTGCCCTAAGTCCGGGCCAAGCTCAGAGGGAAGACAGGGCTTAGAGTTGGAGGCCCAAGGAGCAGCTGTCAGGGGTTAGGGTCCATTTGCATGAGGGGAGCAGGTGGCCGAGATTTCCCTGACAAATCACAGGCTTGAGTGGCCCCCCTTTGGGAGGCCCAAAGACACCTGTCTCCTCCCAGGCCAGCCATAGCCACTCCCCCTTCCAGCCACCACAGAAACTGTGATACACTTGACTTGGGCCCTGGCTGAGGGATCTTCACGTTCTTTATTGACAGCCTGGGAGAGGGCAGTGGGGTATCCTCCCCTCTCATCCTCCTCATTGAAAGCAGTCAGGCCCTGCCCCCTGCCAGTTGTCCCGAGGGAGGCATCGTGTCCTCTGTCTGTCATAGGGCTGGAGGTCCATCAGCTGGGACCAGGTGTGGCTTCCTAGGCCTGGTGACCTCTAGGCTAGCCCGTGCAGTGTCCTCTGAGTCCAGGGCTGGACGGCCCTTGTGACTCCCAAGATGGTGGGGGCACAGGGAGAGAGAGCTTGCTGTCCTGCTCCTGTTGCATGGGGGCTTCTCATGGGTCCTGGCATCAAGGCAGCCCTTCACAAGTCAAGTGGCCACATCCCCAAGGAGTTGGCTCAGCCCCTCACAGTTCCTCTCGGACCCGAGGCGGCTTCCCAGCCTTGTCCTGGATCCGCTGGAGCCTGCGGCTGGGGGGTTCTGGGGCAGGGTCTCTGCTGGGCATTTCTTCCTCCTCCTCTGGCTCCTGCAGCAGCTCTTTGGCTTCTGTCCACTCCTGGGGAGTGAGAGGAGAGTCTGACCCAGTCCCCTGCATCTACCCTGCCCCAAGGACCCTCCCTGGGTCATCTCAGCCCCTGCCCCTCATCCGTCAGCCGGCCCACCCTTCCCACACCAGGAGAGACATCCCTTCCTCCTCCTGCTCCTCCTTACCTGCTCCCTGTGCTCAGGCGCCCACGTGTGCCACAGTGCTAGGGCACAGCGCCGTCCCCGAGTCACGGCCCATACACCATGGGGATTCTCCCCACCGGAACTGAAGGCCACGAGGCGTCCGCAGCGAGGACGCACCTGAGCCTAGTGGGGCAGGGGGCAGGTTCGGCTCCAGGGGTAGGCACTCTCAGAGAACCTGGCCCTGACGCCCTGGAGCAGGACAGGAGAGGGGGCCCAGGAAGGTCAGCTCTCTTGCCCATCACTTCCCACTCCTTAATCCAGGGACTATCTTGGGGCAAATGAGAAATCGGCTTCAACTTGGGGAGCACAAATGCCAGACTTAGGCTAGCGGAGTTGGAGCCAAAGGGAGAAGGGGGCCTCCATCGAGGGCCACCTGTCGGTTCCCTCCCCCGGGTGCCCTGACTTTTCCTGCCCAACCCTTTGAACCAGGTGTGAAGCAATCTGAGCGTATGAGTGCAGTACCAGACTCTGAGTACTGGGGATGAGCATCTTGGGGACATTTTTCCACCCCAGCGAGGGTTTGGATTATAGGTCGCTGGTGGAGGTAAGTGGAGAAGGAGGTAATTGAGTAAGAAGAGCAATAGACGATGCAAAATCACTGCCGCTCTCCTACCCAATTCTAGCCCCTAGTTTCTACTGGAACAGGGACTCGGGGTCCTGTGCTTCACCGACCTTCCTTTAGGACATGAGGCAACACTGAAGGCAGGGTCTGGAGGGGCCACTCCGAGATCTCCTGAGGAGGTGTCATCAGCCTCCACTAGGAGAGCCCCTGAACCCAGACAGGTGATGGAGAGGGCTGGGGATGCCAGGAAAGGAAAGGGTTAAGGCGGCTCCAGCCATTTCCCTGCATTTGCCTCTGGGAACCTTCTGTTTTGACTCCTGAGCCCACAGCTGAGCTCCCTGTCACACCCCACAGCCCACTTACCTTGACGGTGAGGGCGTTGGGCTCTGTGAAGAACAGGTCCCCACCCTGGAAGTCATCGTTGAGGTAGAGGAGTCCACTGGGGAGGGAGGAAGACAGGACGCAGTGAGATCCCAACCCAGGCGCACCTGCCTGACCCCTGGGGGGGCCACCCACCTGAAGTCTCGATAGGTGTAGGCTGGGGGCTCCCGCCAGCACTCTCCGGTGTCCGGGTCCAGGACGCAGTTGTCGGCATGCACCGGGTGACTCAGGTCCATGCGCTGCGCTTGCTCTCCTAGGAAGCAAAGGGGCCTGGTGAATGCCTCTGTGCTCCCCCACCATCCACACCTACCCTGCAGCTCCAGGGCTCACAGCTGGGCAGAGAGGCCAGGCCCCCACCTAGGCAGAGGAGTCGGGGTCTTTCTGAAGACTGAAACCCACACATTTGGGGGTGCTGAGGGTGTGCAGTGCCCAGCAGAGGCCCAGGGTTGGGAAGGAGCAGCTGGGGTCCCTGGCAGTTACCTTCTATGGCACTCCGGCACACCAGGTGGGTGAAGGAAAGATGCAGGGGCCGATCCGGAGAGAAGTAGGCCTGCGTCAGGGTCCGCACACGCTCACTCACTTCCAGAAGCAGCTTAGCACCCTGCCTGCCCACAGCTCCAGCCCGGGCCAGCTGCAGGCAGCGAAAGGAAGGGCGGGAAAGGAGGGAGGCAATGGAAAGGTGGGCCCAGCCCCAGCCTACTTCCACAGCTCTCCACCCATGCGTTTGGAGTCTCAGCAGGCAGCTCCATCCATCAGCCCAAACCGATCCTTCCATTGGCTCCATGACAACAACCCAGGCCCCAAGGTCTCAGAACACCCCCTTCCTCAGCCCTGGGTGGTGGACTCCAGTATGCAGTCCTGGGAGAGCCCCTCCACAGGAGAAGCCCAGGCACTGGTGCCCAGCCTCCTGCATACCCTCTTCTCCAGTTCTGGGCATCAGACCGGGGCGTGGGTGCCTCCTCTCACCTGCGCAGCCTTGAGCACCGTGAGCCCCTCGAAGCGTTCATGGGGGGTATGAGGGGAACGGCGGCCTCGATAGCCAGACCTGGCTCCAGCCTCAGCTGCATCCTAAATAGAGGGGGAGTTAACTATAGAGTCACTCTCCCCCGGCCCCAGGCTATCACCCACCTACCTCACTGCCCACGGGGCTGCAAGACCTTCCCTCCAACCCTCCCACTCCCTGGAAGAGGCCAGAAGCTCCCAGAGTCCCCTGGTGGCTCCTCTTCCTGAGCTGCTGTCCTTTCCCAGAGAAGGACTGTCTTCATGTCTGTATTGTCACTCTCTGGCAAAGACCTGGAATCCCACTCGCTGGGGGAACTGTGCACAGAACTCTAGAGAGCCTCCTACAGTGGGGAAGGGGCCTCTGAGAGGGTAAGGACACCTGAGGAGGGGGTGCCAGAGGGGCTTGATCATTCATCCCTGAGGAGCAAGAAGAGAGGAGTCTCTGGAAAGAGGACCCTGCGGGAAGTTCGACAGTCAGCCCAGGTTCCGGCTGACTCGAGGCGGGGGGACAGCATCTGCCGAGGCATCTCTCTCTCCTCTCCCCACTCTCCCCGCACTTGGAGAACCTGAGAACCCCTGATGCTGAGTCCCAAGTACCCAGCTGCCTCCATGACTCTCATCACCTGGGACCTCCCGGTATTTGGACGTCCCCTTCCTGACACCTATTCTTCTGCCTGCTTTTTGAAATTCAGTTCAAGTACCACTACCTGGTTACCCCATATATAAACCTCATCTCTGAGAGACCACCTAGTCATCCAAGCCGTCTAACCTATTCTTGTATCCATTCACTCAACAAATGTATACTGAGCACCCACTAAGTGCCAGGCACTGTTCTAGGCATTGGGGACACAACTGTGAATATGACATGAAGAGGTCCCTCCTCTCATGGGGTTTCTATTTTGAGATAATAAAGAAATAAATAAATAAGCCAACCAACCAGATCAATTCAGATGGTGATAGTGTTATGAAGAAAATTAAAACAAGGTTACAACCTTGAGAGTGCCCAGACAGGGGTCAGGGGTCAGCTAATTGACAAGGTGACATCTAAATCGAAACCCAATGATATGAAGGAGCCCTTGAATATCTGAAAGGAAAATGTACCGGGCAGCAGAAACAGCAAGTGCAAAGGTCCTGAGACCAGAATGAGTTTAGCATGATCAAGGAACAGAGAGAAGGGCCACTACTTAGGAGTTATCCTTGACTCCTTTCTTTCATCGTCTTCCACATAGATTTACTCCTCAATTTCTCTATCTTCAGTTTTCTAAATATTTATCTTCTGTCCGCTCTCTGCAGTCCCTTGAAATGAGGACCGAACCTAACGCACTCTTGTATCACCCCAGGAAGTCCCCCCTTCACTTTCCTCTCTGGTCGCATTCTGCACATTGCCACTAGAGGCATCTACCGGTTCTACAGGAGGAGACCCCAGACCCTGCACCTGGAGGTTCTGTGGGAAAAGGGACATCATCCCTCGTTCAATAAGCTGTCCACCATCTACAAATAAAGTCCAGCCTCCTTGGTAGAGTACAGAAGGCCCTTCACCATCTCTCCTGTGCCACCGCCTCTGGGTAACATACAACCTGATGATGCTCGCGACACTGATACTGAGCACTTTCTATGTTCTTCTAAAAGTTTACCATGTACTAACTCATTTAATCCTCATAACCACCCTACAACAAACTGTATTCAGCCCCATTTTATAGATGAGGAAACTAGGCTTAGAGGCATTAAAATACAGTGCCCGGGGTCACACAGCTAATCATCGCTGGGCTGGCCCATGCTCTTAACTCCTGTGCCCTCCCACAGTTCCCACAATACCCCTTGTTCGCCCTCAAGCCTGACTCTCCTCCGCTTCTCTGCCTGGTTAACTCATCCTTAAGACAGCTCTCAGGCTGCCCCTCCGGGAAGCCTTCTATGACTTTGTGTTTCAGTGCTTCTACTGGGATGCGTCCATCCTTCTTTAATCAAACTTACCGCCTGCTCTAGTTATGTGTCCCCGTGTCTGATTCCTTCTCTATACAAGGAGCTCCCGAATGCGGGTCTGTGTTCATCTCCCTCTCCCTGGAACCCAGCAGTTTTGAGTACACAGCAGGTACTCAGTGAGTGTGTGGTGAAGGAACACTAGCCTAGAATGAGGATTGAAGCTTCATAAAATGGCAGACTCGACCTGGTGAATATGGGTCATTCAACCCAAGCTAGGAGGGGATGCAGTGGAGGAGAAAAGAAGCCT